TGGTTGGTGGCGAGCAAGTCCCAGGCGTTTGTTTAGCTCCAGGCACCTCTTGATCCGGACCTCTCGGCCGGAGCCGGGAGCGGTTGCAGTTCACCGCCGGGTACTTGCCGCCTTTGAAGGCCGGCGTATGGAGATAGACGAGGCGTGTTCCCGCTGGTTGAGACTCTGGGAAACAGCGGAGCATCTTTGTGCCTTCCCCCGACAGTGTTAACACCGCTCCTGCTGTAATCGCAGGCTTTGGGAGGGCGGATGGCCGGCATGTCGTTTCAGAATATTTTCTTCCCCACGGCCCACAGCAAGGAAGAGAGAAGCGTGTTAATGGGGACGTTTTCTGTGGTGGTTTCGGAGGTGCAGACGCGAGTAGTGGCTGATGGGATGGGACACTCGCGTTGGCCTTCCGTGTGGCTTCGGGGTCTGACAGTTCTGGCTTAGGGTGATGTCAGAAGGAGCGCGCAGTAATGACTGCAGCCAGTTTTCTGGTGACAACATGACTGCGGAGAGGTGGCTACCAAGTTTGGGATAAAAAAAAATGAGATTCTCTTAAAAATTAAGTCATTCATGTACATTAACTGTGTAAGCGATTTCCTTATAATTTCCTTAAAATTGGTGTTAAATAGCACTTAGCTTTCAGGCAAGACACTGAACTCTGAGCATCTGTGTGCCAGGCAATAATAGCAGTAGCTTTTTGAAAAGTGGGCCCCTTTCATAAGGTACCTTACTTAAGGATGCTATGTATATGAAGAAATACGGATAGTGTGTAAATTATGCGATGCCGTTTTGGTTTTTTAAGGTGTGAATTATCTCTGCAATGCAATTTTATTCTACTTTTCTTGGTTTAGGCATTCACCATGGTCCAGCGTTTGACATATCGCCGGAGGCTGTCCTACAATACAGCCTCTAACAAAACTAGACTGTAAGTATTTCTAAAATTTAAAAAACACGTGCCAAAACGGGTTTGGCTCAGTGGATAGAGCGTCGACCTGCGGACTGAAGGGTCCCGGGTTCGATTTGGGTGGAGGGCATGTACCTTGGTTGTGGGCACATCCCCAGTGGGGGGGTGTGCATGAGGCAGCTGATCGATGTTTCTAACTCTATCCCCTCTCTTCCTCTCTGGTAAAAACTCAATAAAAATATATTTAATAAAATAAAATACACGTTGTCATTTACTCTGCTGAAAGCTGAGCTGTGGTGTATTCATTCTCTCACTTCCTAGGTCCCGAACCCCTGGTAATAGAATTGTTTACCTCTACACCAAGAAGGTTGGGAAAGCACCCAAATCTGCATGTGGTGTGTGCCCAGGTCGACTTCGAGGAGTAAGTGAGCCTTTTGTTATGAATAAGTTGCAGGTTGAAGTTTTGAGCATTAATTTCTCACTATGGGAACGGTGAAGGAGAGGACACCGCTAAGGGTGGTGAGAATGTACAAATGTCCATAATTCGTACCTGTCAAGAATGTTTTAAACCCAATGACAGACACACTGAAATGCTATTCACTTATATAAATAAGTACACCATTTCCCTGTGTAACCTAGTTCAATGTTTGCACTTAGAACCTATTAAGAAAAATCTAGCACAATTTCTGTTACTGTAAAAGCATCGTGAAATAACATCAACATTTTCTTTATGCAGGTTCGTGCTGTGAGGCCTAAAGTTCTAATGAGGTTGTCTAAAACGAAAAAACACGTCAGCAGGGCCTATGGTGGATCCATGTGTGCTAAATGTGTCCGTGACAGGTAAATACAACTCTTAAATCAAATGGGCTTGCTTAAGTGTATGGGTCTGTCCATTACACTGCATGCTGATCATTACTAGGAGACTGGTGAAAAAAATAACTTAAACAAAAGTTGCCTACTTTAGGATCCTTCCTAGACTAAGGATAATTGGGGAAGTACAAAATGTTAATTCAAAATAATTTAGGATTTGGGGCCATCTTTATACTAGATGTAGAAATTAAAATGATTTTGGTTTTGTAGGGGAGGAAGGTAAACTGTTTTTGACACTAAGATAGAGCATAGAAAGTGTTGTTTCTCTCAAATCAGTAAATATGGTATATCCTTGGATGAGTATTTTTTAAAAAATTGTATATACTTCTGATGTGGCTGGAGTAGAGAATAGTGGGAAGTGGTGGACAAGAAGTCACAGATCAGGAAGGATGGTTTCTAGCTTGATCCTTAAAAATGTGGGGATTGGTGGGGTTTGAGGAGGGCAGGGAAACCTTTGGTGTGCTAGACACTAATGCTGCAGCACAGTGGATAACGAAATCAATCAGCAAGAAGTGGACTTGGAACTTGCAATTTCTGTACTAGAGTCAAAGCAAATAAAAATATAGATAGATTTCAGAGAGAAAGGGAGAGTAGAGAGAACTCGGAACTCGCAATTTCTGTACTGTGTGAAGGCTAATGAAATGACAACTCTTTCAGGGTAGGAGAAGGTTTAGGTAGAAGGCTAGGTCTTTTGGATGTGTGAAAGTGGCGTAGACAGGAGTGGATGCAGTGGAGTTTATGATGGTAACTTTTATGCAGCATTTTTATGATAAAGACTTGCTAGTTCATCAGGGAAGTGTTTCTGTTACCATCTTTTTGTGAAGAAACCAAGACTTACTGCTTAAATTCACATAGCTGATAAGAGGCAACACCAGCATTTCTTCCAGGCTTTATTGAGACCCTTCCTCTCAACCCCACTGACTGTATTACCCTGTTTCCCCAAAAATAAGACAGTGTCTTATATTAATTTTTTCTCCCAAAGTTGCACTAGGTCTTATTTTCAGGGGATGTCTTATCTTTCCATGCGCTAGGTCTTATTTTCGGGGAAACACGGTAATATTAGATTGTCTCCAAAGACTTAAGATGGGCTTTCCCGAGTGAAGAAGTTGGGAGTAACTATCAGAAGAATAGTTTGCCTCCAGTTTACTTCAGATAGTTCTGTAAAGCAGTGTGGCCAAATTTCTAAGCCAAGTCTTGACACCAAACCTTGCAAGTTCATTTTGCCTTTTAGGAGTTAAATTTGTAAGGGGATGGTAAGGCACGGTAGAGGAATACAAACACATGATAAATATAACTTCCATGACATGCAAGAGAACTTAATTGAAATTTAGAGGAGAAACTACTTTCAGGTGGCTGGCAATCTGAGAATAGAATTTAAGGCGGAACCTGATTGATGTGTAAGTTGGACAAGGGGTTGAAAGGGCATTGCAGGCAAGGAATGCAGCCAATCAATGGTGCAGGAGGCAGCCAATCAATGATTCTCATCATTATTTCTCTCTCTACTCTCCCTTTCTCTCTGAAATCTATATATTTATTTTGACACTAAATGGAGGTCCTAAGTATAGAAATTTCAAGTCCTTCCAAATTTAACCTTTATAAAAACCCTGTGAAATAGATATGAAATTACTCCTGAACCTCACAACGGAAGGTAACTTGCCCAAGATCACACGGCTAGTAAATAGTGGAGTTGGCTTCAGTCAGGCTCTAGTCTAAAATCTTTGCTCTTGATAAAGGACCTCTCACTAATATCTTTTACCCTTTCATTTTGATTCCTAGCACGTTACTCCTTTTCTGTGTTTTTACTGGAAATTTTCAATACTGTGGTTAAAACATTCTAAGACATTTTACAAATCAAGTAATGTCCTTAATCCTGGATCCTAATGAGATGCCATTAAATGAAAGCTAGCGAAGTGGCAGAGAGCCGGTTCTTGTGGGTGCTTTTACAGTTTACCATGGCTCCAAAGGGGAGGGTGGTACTGCTGTGGGTAGGCTGAAAGGGTCTGTCCATGTAATACCAGTTTTTAATCTGTACTTGCGGGTTTTATTTTCTTGAGTATCTTCCCTCATAGCTTTAAATATTTTCAGGTGCTTTTCTTGCCTTTGTTAAATCAATGCTATTTGGGTATAAATATTCATTTAACATTTTCTTTTGTAGGATCAAGCGTGCTTTCCTTATTGAGGAGCAGAAAATCGTTGTGAAAGTGTTGAAGGCACAAGCACAGAGTCAGAAAGCTAAATAAATTTTAAAATGAAGCTTTTTTGAATAATAAAAGTCTCATTCTGTTAATTATCTTGTAATTTGTTAATATACAGGTTTTGTTCCTGTGTGTTATCTGGGGACCCTGTGATGTCTAGATTTCTGTTTTTCTAAATGAGAGTGAAGGTTAATGGTCCCTAGAATTTTTTTATGGTATCTTGAGACAAGGCCTTTTGAGAAGAGTGGCCCTTACATCTGAACATTTCTTTGAAGACCTCTTGGATCATTTTCATAGTAGCTTCTTTATCAGAAGTCATAGAGCAGAAACCAGTGTTTAAAGTTATGGAATGGAACCATTCTAACATCATTAAGCCCTCTTATTTGCTTAGTTTCAAACTGGTCTATTTTGGAGAATAAAACTGTCAGCAAAAGATGAACTCCTGTGTACAAAACTTAATGTCATGGGTCAAGTGAAATTCAAATTCAGATTTATGTTGGATTTATTATCCAAATCAGAACATTAAAATAATAGACCCTCGTATACAGATTTGTCCAATGGAAAGTAATACAAGAAAACCCATGTGCTCATAACTATTTTCTTAACTTTGTGATACTGTTTAAAACAACTCAATAATGCAAAACTAGATTTTATTAGTTCATTCTTACAGTGCTGAGGCTAAAAGACGTCCATTAAAGTATAAACTGAATTGTCCTCCAAGACCATTTTTTCAGGTCATGTCAAGCTTCCAATCCTAGGCTACTTCCATAAGCCAAGAAGCCTAGAAACTTGGTAGCTAGAGAATTCGGTGCATTTTGACCCTTTTCCTCTAGACTAGGGGTGTAGAACTCAATCAGAGAAGGGGCCAAAATCTAAAATCCAGCCTAAATCGCGGGCCGAATGGTTTACTAAACAATCATAAACTGTCATTGTGATGGAAACGCAGCGGAGTGCAGTGATGACAGCGATTTTTACTGATTGCAAAGTGGGAGGGAGAGATGGAAACATAAACATTGAGACTCATTCAACTGCCTCCTTCATGCCCCCTGCTGGGGATTGAGCCCACAACCCTGGCATGTGCCCTGACAAGTCAGGACCAGGTCAAAGGTCAACCACTGAGCCACATCAGTTGGTCAGTGCCCTTTCCTAAAGAAGGAAAAGGGCAGGAATCTGGCCTTGAACCCCACTGCCCGCTAATTTGGTAGACGTGATTTTAAATCGGCATTTTGCAGAACAGAATTAAGTTGCTTAGGCTGTCATTTGAATTTGATAGCATCTCCATAGTGATACCTAACGCCTATTTGCCCTATGCCTGACACTTCAAAGCACTTCATTTAGTCTTTCCAACAACCCTGCGACACCTTTATCATCCCCATTTTATAAATGAGCACTGGCACACAAGTTGTGTAATACTTATCCATTAGAATTGGCATATGTTTTTAGGGAGTTGAGATTGAATATACTCCAAGTAAATACTTCAGCAAAAGGTGATAGCTTAGGTTTCTCAGATCATTTGAGATCCATCAAGTCTTCCATTTGTCTTCCATTTGAATTGTTAAGCAGCCAGAACAATACAATTATTTTGGGTAATGTTTAATCATAAATATTTTTAACGGGTATAATTGAAAAGCATTGGATTCTGAAGTAGAGTAACATTTCTTCATGGACTGATGCTGACAAATATTGCATAGACCTGTTTGGTCATCTAGTGCACATGTGTCAAACACAAGGCCCGCGGGCCAAATCCGTCCCGGCAGACCTTGCAATGTGGCCCGCACCGCGCTGTCATCACTGCACTCCGCTGCGTTTCCATCACAATGACAGTTTATGACTGTTCAGTAAACCATTCGGCCCACGATTTAGACTGGATTTTAGATTTTGGCCCCTTCTCTGATTGAGTTCGACACCCCTAAATTCTAGTGTGTGATAAGAATCTAAAAATGGATTCTTTAACACTCAATGCCTTTAAAATTTTAATTCAGTTAATTGCTTTGTAAACTAATTTTTCCTTGGTTTGAGATGTCATCTTTAAGTAATAGCTGTGGAGAAAAAGACTCCATTTGCATGTCAGGGCTCTTATGACACAAAGTTCTGTAGAGCAACTTGACAACCCAGGCTGTAATGTGAGGACTATCAAGTTTCAACAGAATAAGTGGGTTAACTTAGAAACTTGAGAAAACTAAAGCATTGAAGTCACATACTTTTCAAAGAATTCTTCATGTATTAAATGGTTTAACCTTTTCCAAATTTGAAATGTTTTCACTTATAAAGCATGTTTGTAGACAATTTGGAAAATAGGAAAATTAGAATGAAAAAAATCCTTTAATTTCAGTATGCAGATAATTATTTTTAAGTCAAAATTAGAAGCATACTTTATATATAAACTAAATATTCCCTTTTGGATAATTGAGTTTTTTGTTTGTTTTTTACTTCAGAGGGGGGGAGAAAGCTAGAACATCAATGATGAGAACCATTGACTGACTGCCTCCTGCATGCCCCACAGGGGATCAAGACCACAAACTATGACCTGGTTCATAGGTCAACGCTCAACCACTGAGGCACGCCAGCTAGGCTGGATTATTTCTTAATTTTTCTCCATTTGAACACTTGTGAGCATTCTTTTAATATATTTTTATTGATTTTGGAGAGGGAGAAAAGAGATGGAAACATCAATGATGAGAGGATCATTAATCAGTTGCCTCCTGCACACCCCCTACTGGGGATTGAGTCCACAACCCAGGCATGTGCCCTTGACCAGAATCAAACCCAAGACACTTCAGTCCATAGGCTGACCCTCCCCTGAGCAGACGAGCCAGGCTAAAAGCAAGCTCTCTTGTCTCCGCTCTTCCAAGGACCCTAAAACCATAATGAGGGTTCCAACCTCATGACTTACCTCCCAAAGGCCGCCACTTCCTAAAACACGGGATTAAGGTTCCAATATATGAATTTTGGAGAAACACAAACATAACACTGCCACATTTCATGTCCAGAACACTGAGGATGTGAAATATGCCGGATCGGTGGCCATTTCTTCACCTGTGTTAGTTTAGCCACTTAGTTATTGACCATGGGCCGCCCTTCTCCATTCCTCCCTCTGCTAATTCCTCCACCTCACTCGTGTTGTGGTGGGTAGATATAGAGGACCACAGACTATGTGAACATAGTGCCAACTCTGTCCAAGTGGCCAAAATGGATTCTGCACTGCGCTGGGTTTTGATTTAAAGAAACAGTTTTTACTGAGTCCAGTTCTGTGTATGACAAAGTATCTCTGACAGGTTCCTAAGAAGATAAGTGAATGTAGTTAGTGGTTTCTCCTTCCACTGAATTGTTTATAATTTCATTAGAAGGACCGGGGGGGGGGGGGGGGGAGGGGGTTATGTAGACATGCCACGGGTATTCTTTCATTCTTAAAAGCAGAAAACTTCCATATATTTAAGTAAATAAATCTAATTTATTTTCAGCAGTGCATACACTTTTTACCCTAATGATTTAGGGCTTGGGTTCCCAGAATTTTGATAGGGCTGTATCCAGCTCTAACTACAAGCTATTTTATCTTACCAATTGAAATCACATACAGACATATCCTGGAGACATTGGGGGTTTGGTTCCCAACCACCACAACAAAGCAAACAGCACAATAAAGTGAGTCACATGAACCTTCTGATTTCCCAGTGTATATAAACTTATGTTCTATACTCTGTTAAGTGTACAATAGCATTGTCTAAAAAAATACCTTAAAAATACTGTATTGCTAGAAATTGGTAACCATCATCTGAGATTTCAGCAAGTCCTAATCCTTTTGCTGGTGTCGTCTTCAATTTGTTTAAAAAAAACAAAAAAACAGTTATTTATGGAAAGCAACAAAGTGAGTTGCAATAAAACGACATACACCTCTACCAGTCTGAAGTAAGATTGTGAAGCAGGACTGAATATGATTATTTTTTTCTGAATCAGATTACTTACTGCTGGGTTAAAGGTCTATAACTATTGGCTATTACCAATAAACCCAGTGGTATGTGGAGCCAGCTTAACCTGGCTGTCAGAGCCAGTTGTGTCTCTAGCTCAGTGTTCAGTGATGCCAGGTTGGTACCTTGATATTGGAAATATTTACACAGGAAATCAGCAGACTATCTTCAAGAGTTTTCTTTCTAGACTCTAGAGGGTAAGATTCACAACATTTCTTTCTGATTTCTAATATATCAGCTACTCAGTATTTCTGAGTAAATCTTAAATGTTTCTGGATAATTTGAATGATTACATCAATGCTCTTGCCATACATTTACATTCTGATTTGCTTTAGCTTTCATTCATTAACTCAACAAATATGTATTAGAAACTACTGTGTTCCAGAAACTGTTTCTGGGTATGTATTAATACAACTGTCAACAGAGCAGACTCTTCCCTGCTCTCCTGGTACATAACTGAGGCTACAAATACATTTTTAATTGCACACATTGGGATAAGAGTCATAAAGGGGAAGAATTCAGTGCTGCTGAACAGTGTAAGAATGGAATCTCCTGGGAAGGGGAGGTAGGCTTTTCTGAGAAAGGGATATTTAAGCTCAATGCAAGAACAAGAAGGTGTTAGCTGGGTGCAAAGGAGGGAGAACATTCCAGACATAAGAACCAAGTGCAAATGTCTTAAATCAAGAAATAGCTAATATTTTTAAACAGGTAACTCATGCAGCCCAATTCACTCTTAATATGTAGAGCCAGTAAGTCTGATATATGTAAACACATTGTTACTAAGAAGGAACATTCCTATTAGCAAACACATTTTAGTCACCTACAAAGCTCAAAAAGATCTGTGCCACCTTCTTCTAAGGAAGACCAGTGAAGGAAAAGCTTATTTTGGAACAAAGACACAGTATTCTGCGTTAGGGGATATTTTAATTATGCAACCCCCTAGATATTTTAGGCATCAACCTACTATTGAGGAGAAAAAGATCAAAATTATTGACTGAATCCCCCAGATATTCATTCAGCTTCTATATTCCTTTGCCTGTGCAAATAGCCTGAGGGCTATGCCCTCCCCCCTCTCCTCCACCTCTCTTGTTAGAAATAAGCTTATAGCTTGACTAAAGAACAAGTAGTTCTGAAGAAAATGCAGATGTGTACTGCATCAGTGTAAATTGCACAAAGACTATAAGCTGTACTAGAGGCCCAGTGCATGGATTCGGGCACCCATGGGAACCTCTAGCCTGGCCTGCACCCTCTCGCATCTGGGACCCCTCAGAACTGGCGGCCTAACATGCCCCAGGGATGTAGCAGTGTGCAAAGCTGCAGGCAGTGGGGGGAGGAGCCTGTACTGCTCCTCTCTTCCTGGCCCCACTGTGCCTGCTGCCACTGCCACCACTCTACAAACTCACTGAGCAGCGCTCCTGCTGTGGGAGCTCCCTGGCCATCAGGGGGCAGCTCCTGTATAGGCCGTAGTGACTGGTCAAATGGTCCACCTGTCGAATGGTTGACCAGTTGCTTAGGGTTTTATAAGATTGATGGTCTGTTGCAATTACTCACTCTAGAGATATAGTGGGGAAACAGCCACAGACAATCCTATATAATAAAAGTGTAGTATGCAAATTGTCCCCTTATCAGGAGTTCTTCCTGGAGTTAAACCAGGGGGTGGGGCTACCCAGGGAAAGGGAGCCGGCAGCCACTAGGGACCCTACCAGTGCACGAGTTTTGTGCACTGGGCCTCTACTATCTATTGATAAATAAATGGTCAGGGCTGTATACCAATAAGGTTTTACTTACAAAAACTGATGTGGGCTCAGATTTGGCCTGCAGATTGTAGTTTGTGGACCTTCCCTGTTCTGGATGACCCTGCTTCCAATTCCAGCTGCCATCCAGCTGCAACTGAGTGAGAAACATCAAGCAAGACCAGCAGAAAACTGCCGTGTTGAGTCAGTCAACCCAGAGGATGGCGAGAAAAAAATAAAATGGTTGTTTTGCTGCACTAAGTTTTGAGATGGCTTGTTACATAGTGATATATTACTAAAACAGTGGTACAGTATAATGGTCTATAAATATATATATATATATATATATATATATATATATATATATTAAAATATGTTTTATTGAGTTTTTACAGAGAGGAAGAGAGGGATAGAAAGCTAGAAACATCGATGAGAGAGAAGCATCAATCAGCTGCCTCTTGCACACCCTCTACTGGGGATGTGCCCGCAACCAAGGTACATGCCCTTGACCGGAATTGAACCCGGGACCCTTCAGTCCACAGGCGGATGCTCTATCCACTGAGCCAAACCGGTTTAGGCTCTTTAAATATTTTTTTATTGCATATCCTTTAAAGAGCTTGAAAAGTTGTGTAGACCCTTGCACAATTTTAGATTGTCACCTAAAACTTTTCCTTATAAATTTAAATTGTTGCAAAAGATGTAATTTCCAGCACCATGAAGATATGAATAATTTTTCAAAAACTGCTCTATCGCTTTAAAAATACATCAAATAGAGGCTACATAGCAACTATTAAAAAAAGAAGAAAGAAGACAGGAATCTGCTCTTGTAACAGTTGGTAGTTCTATATTAAAAGTATTTTTCTGATTGGTAATTCCCACAATTCTATTTCTAAGAAAGAAAAAGCAATAAAGGAAGGCATGGAGTCTTGCCACCCACTTGTCCTCCAGACAAAATAAGGTATAACTGCCTTTTCATCTGTGTTCTTTTTGCTTCACTCTGAAGGAGCTCTCTCTCCAGAGTAAGCCATTCTTTGACAATTTGGGCAAGATGAAAGAGGTGAGGATGTTAAATGAAAATTGTCATCATTCCCTCCCACCTCATTCTACATTATATCTGAATTTAGGTCATTTAAATGTGGGCCAAGATATCCTACTCCAGTGTCTAATATCTCCCTTATGTGTAAAATGGGGAAAGACACAAAGCCCAAAGACACTTTATTTCTTTATTTATAATTTATTTACTATTTATAAAGAACTGTTCTAGACACTGGGATAAACAAAATAGACAAAAATCCCTGCCTTATTGGGGATTTCATTCCAATTAGGGGAGACAGATGATGAATAAAAACATAAACGAATGAATGAATAAGTGAATATGTGAAATAATATGGTATCATTGATTTATGCTATTGAGAGAAATAAAGCAGGGGAAGGGGATAGAATGCAGGAGAGAGCAGGGCGTTGCAATTTAAATAGTGGTGTGAGGGAAAGTGGCCCTGAAAAAGGGACATTTAAACAGAGACCTAAAGGCCATGAGAGACCA